TGCGTAGATGGGAGGATAATGTCAGGTGGAATCTATAGGAGATAGGAGTTGAAGGAGACTGGATTTTGTTGGCCCAGGACAGGGTCCGGTGATGGGGTTTGGTTAATTCGGTGATGAACCTTCGGGTTCGGTAAGCCATCTAGTTATTTAGTTTCCTTAAGAACCATCATCTTCCCATCCATGTCTAGGTCTTCCAAGTGATCTCTTGCGTACAGGTTTTTCATCTCTCCCATGTATATATTGTGTGCCCATCTCATCTTCACTGATTTGAAAAGGCTTAAGTTAAGACTTAAAATTGCCCTTGACACATGAGGATGCATAAAATAAAACTTAACACCATGTAGCAGAGTCCTTGAGAAGCTAAGACACTAAGCTCATCAAGTTCCTGACCTTGGGACCTAAAGTAATTTGTGACAGAACCCAATCCTGAACCAGATGAATCCAGTCCACGCCCTCATGTCCTGTTTTCTTATGCTATATGTCTTACCCTTGTTAAATGTATAGAGTTGATCGTTGGTGATTAGTAAGGTTTCTCAGCACAGATATAATGTATATTTTGGCATTGGAATGGGGGGGGGGGAAGTGCAAATGTCAGTAGTATGTCTTATGTTTGCTACATAACATGCCTTAGCAGACTTCTAAGTGCCTATGTTGTGTAGTAGCATGAAACATGAAGAAGTTTTCTTCAAGTCTTAATAGTATGCCATTGGTGGTTAATCTTTGTTACACGAATGGCCTCTGTAGTAAAACCTAGTAATTTACATTAATATGTTCAGTTGCAAGATTTTTATGTAGAAAAGTATTATGCTACATTTGCTTAGAATGAAATCTTTTATTAAGTTGGGATGTGTCCATGAAATCATATATGCATTTATTTCATTATTAAAATGTAAGTTGTAAGTAATACTGTAGATACTGTTAAGAGTTTTTTAATGTTATTCATTTGAATGTAGGTATTTATATTGTATTTTGGAATTACATTAAAGTGAAATTGTAGTGTTCCTTGAGTTTCACATTGCTGTATTATCCCATTTAAATTTTATTTACAGTGGGACTTGCAGATTTCATCAACTTTTTTTATGTAGTAGTGTATGTGTACATACAGTGCTGTAAAGTCATGGGTTAAATCAGGGGTTCTCAACCTCTTCTAGACCTATAGTTGCATTCACCCTTTCGTATCAACTCATGGGCTTCAAAGTTATGAGGACACTTTATTGAAATACTTGGCAGTTTATTGAAAATATTACCAACTTACGCAAACAGATTCATGTATCAGGCTCACTCATTAATGTTCTTCAACAAATCGGTCATCAGTGAAATGTCTGACATTGCTTTTACTGGGGTAATTTTTAAATATCAGCTTTAATTTTCATTGTGATATGAATACATCTCTCCAAGTGTTAATCAATAAGGTGAATTCTGTTTCTTTACTTGATACTCTTCATTAAGCTGAGCAGTTGCTCATACCAATAGTTACTGATGACATTAAAAAAGCATGTTTTGTGATAGGAGGTAACTATTTTACACCAAAGAGGTTGACAATATACTACAGAAGTGTCCACAGGCTGCATGCAGCCTGCTTGTTGAGAACTCTTTGGTTAAATGAAAAGCAAGTACAGGTAGCCCTCGATTTATGCCGGCGATGCGTTCCTGGATGAACCGGCGTAAATTTAAACTCTTTTATAATGTAAATCAATGGGAAGTCAATGACATGCGTTCCCAGCACCCAAACATTTACGAGTAATATAATGGCATTACATTTAAAGCTCTGAAATAACGTAAATAAAATAAAGGTAAGAAATTTTTTTTTCACTTTTTGACTTGCTGGTTTCAAAATCGGTGTTATTCTGAATCGGCGCAAATTGAAGGTTACCTGTATTAGTTTTATGGGTACAAAATATGATAGCTTAAAACTCAAAACCCATATAATGGAATATCGTTTCCCCCTTGCTGTGTCATATGGCTAATGTAGAGAGTTTTGTATGACATATTATCCAGTGCAATGCATTTCAGTGATATGTATGTTATAAAATAATTTTGTAAATAACATTAGAATAATGCTGAATGTAATAATTATTACAATTATGCTTGTTGCACTATGATTGTTGTAATTTATATATTTTTATTTACCAGTGTCTAGAAGCAAATTATTCATATATTTCATTTACATATAAAGTCTTCACAAGGAGGAGTTTATATATATATATATATAATTATTATACAACTGTGCCATTGTCATTATTGTAACTAGACATTTAGCATACATATATATATCAATATTTTTAAGTCACATACTTAGAAAAAAGGTATTCAGTAATATTTTAAATAAACCAGGGAGTTTCCTTTAAAGTTCAAGAAGCGAATCATTTGCTGTCATGTTGGATGTCTACCAGACCAGTGAGCGTTCATAGTTCGGATTGCAGCTAAGACTTGGGATCTTCTAACTGGACTGTTCACTGCAGTACACTACAGTATTTCTTTGAAGCAAAATAATTCAGTTTTCCTTTGACACCTTTATAGTTTATTTTTACTTGTATTTCTTTTCTGCTTTGTACATACTAATTTCTTTTGCAATATTTTCTCACATCTTCATGAAATAAACATTATGATGTTCTAATGACTTATGCCCCCACACCCATTTTACACAGACTAGAATTTACATATGTAACATGAGGTTTTCACAGCGGTATGAAGATTTCTGTCTTCGGGGTTGTTGCACTGTGTAGTCTGGTCGATGTTTACCAACGTTTCAGAGGTCATACTGCCTCCATCATCAGGGCGATGTGTATTAGGACTGAAAACTTGCATTTCTATAAACATGTAGATTTTTTTAAGTCTACAAGAAAACTTTATATTGTGTAAGTTAAGACTATATATGTATGTTTGAGGCATGTTCACATCCCTGCAAAGTGCTGTGTTATTTATTATTCATATTTCCTCTGACCAAAGTCAGTCTGGAAGATTATGACTGAACTCTATGTTCAGAGTATCAAAAACTTTAATGGAAGATAAAAGGGAAAGAAATGGAGTATAACAATATAAAAAAAAACATTTATAAAATCACAAATTTCATAAATATTTTACAATCCAATATTTCAACTTTTAGCCATGATTATGCAACAAGAATTCTTATTTTAAAGAATATATACAAATTATTCTCTAGTACATAGTGTTTGTCATACAAGATATCACTTTCAGAGCTGTTAATGATGCAGTGGGTAATTTGGCACCCAAGTGGTTTTTCCATATATGTTTTTCATTTAAGCTGAAAACATCAATGCGCAATATGTATTTATGGATGGCAGAAACCACTAGAAATTATACCAAGTACTGTATTAATGGAAACCAAGTGTAATTTCATCTGAGCACTATACTAATGTCAGTTCTCTGAAAATGTACAGATATACCATTAAATGCAAATGGCAGGTTGCCATGCATGTTTCATACTTTATAAGGAGGTAAAAGCAAGGCTGTGCCAAAGCTAAGGCAGTTACTTTCCAGCTTCCTACTGCAGAGGCCTGGGTCTGCACCCAGGTTAGTCCATGTGAGATTTGTGGTGGGTAAAGCGGCACTGGAACTGGTTTTCTTTCACGACTCCTTCAGTTTTATCATCTGTATCATTTAATACTGCCCAATATTCAGTCATATATCATCTGGGTGATGGACAAAGAACCCATTAGTGGCCCAGTTCCACGGGAATAGTAACATGGGATAAAAGCAATTAATCCAAATGGCAATTTTTCAATCATGCAGTCCTCAGTGAAGCAAGTAATTTGAAGTTATACCTTCTGCCATAGTTCCTTTGGACCCATGTCTGTTCCTTCCTTCAACTGCATTTTCTACAACAGCTGAAAGTTGTCATCTGGCCTAAGTGCACATATAGCAAGTTACTTCTCACAGCCTATTATAGTCAGCTGTGAGTACATTTTCCAGCTTGTACACACACATCTTGTTACAGTATACATAGCTCTTCATCCTAATGAAATAGAAGGATCCAGAATTTGCTGTGTGGGTCCTATACAGGGGAGTCACTGTGGGCCTATACAGCTGTGAGTTGGAGAGTAATTAGTGTTAATACATATGTGACCACCTGTAAGGAGACAGCTTTTAATACCACTGTGGGAGTAGGCAATAGACTGAACAATGAAGATTTGTGATTAATGGAACTGCATTGAAAGAAATAATTACCTGTAATTATTATAAGATGAGTAAATCCATATTTAAAGCAAAGAACCCACAAATTAATTAGTGATTTTTGTTACAGTTTGCTTTGTAAGTATTTGGGGGTTACATGCAAAAAGTGCAGGATGTCCTCATTCCTACAAAGATGAATACTGACTTTTGGTCTGAGTCATTGCTGCTCATCTGAAGTAATACTGTGCCTCTTAACACTATTAGCTGCCCCACACACAGTGTGCGCTTCAATCAGCTCAGTTCCAGTATGTATACATGTGATATCGTGCAGGTGGTAAGCTAAGAGTTACTCAACTGGAACAGTACATTAAATTTCACACCATATGTATTCACAGATACAGTATTATTACTTCCATATCACCAACTGTTGAGCTACACAATATATAATCTCTACAACAAAATTAAAGTTTTGTATACATGCATTCAGCCACTACAATGTGTAAGACAACTGCGAACTGTAATAAGTAATCTGCACAGTATCTTTACTGCTGTGTCTTTTTATTATGAAACTTTACATTTATAGATTAGAACTGCCACGGTAGTCTAGCAGTTAGAACGCTGCCCTTATAATCCTGGGGTCCTGGATTCGATTCCCGGCGGTGCCCAAATTTATAACTTGTGTCGGGCAAGGTCGTGGTCTAGGCAACACGGAGTTTTCCTCCGGGGCTTCCCCGCAGAAGAAGGCAATGGCAAACCACTTCTGTATCACCTGCCTAAAAAACATATATGAACAGGTCCCAGTCCAAGAAAAGGATGGAAGGATCCTGTTCATAATATGTCGCCATGTAAAGGAGACGGCATAATAAAGAAGAATATTTTAGTGTAAAAATGGAGTCAATATGAAAGTACATATGGTGTGAAAATAAATGGACCAGCTCTATATTTCAGGTACACTGCACTTTAACTGTCTAAATGGCTTATGAATTTATAATTCCATGTGCCATTATACATTACATTGATAACATGGCTAAAGGTGGTGTTTATACAATTATTTTCAGTGAGTACCTTCATGTCAGCTGTTGTGGAAGAGTGATAGTTTGTCATATGAAGGAATATGGCAGAAGTGAATGTCTGCTTCACATGAGAAGTATCTTATTGTTTCTTCCTCTTTATCACAATACAAAATTACAATTTTAATTTGGTTTCAGATACTGAATTTGTTAAATACTTGCTGTAAAATCCTCTGAAGATAATGTTTCCTTCATTAACATCTGTATCACTCTCCATTAAATGTCTAGTAGTTCCATCACAGCAGCTACTTTTGGAATAATTCGTTTGCAGCCAGAATTGGAGAATAGCTTATGTGGTTCTGGTCCAAATGTCAAATAACGTAACACCTCTCTGGAAAAACAACAACATATATTATAACAGGGTGACTCAAAGACTTTCATATTTAATGAGAGAGGGGACAAAATCTTACATACAAAACTTGGCAAGAACTAGCATGAACATTGTCTCAAGACTTGAGTAAGCACTGATGCGTGACTTGTATTTGAGAGGTACCAGAGTCAAATCTCAGTTCAGAATCATTCATCCTGTCAGATTAATAATTGTTATTCTCAGCATTTACAAGTAAATGGGTAGTATTTTCATATAGTCCACAACTGCATCCTTTCTCTTAATCTAATACCATTTTATTTTATGAACTGTAACAATGCAGAAGCTTCCAATTTAATGGGACCTACTGCCTTCATCTACAGGCTACATGTGACAAGAGGTAAGAACATTAAGTTATCTGATGGAAAATATACAAATTTATCATCAATTTTTAATAGTGACATTTTTGTAAACACATTTACAAATTTTGTATGAAACATTTATGTATTGGTTTGTTATGCTGTGTTGAGAGTACAATTATAAAACCATGGACAAGCAGCTTGGGTTCAGATGTACCATAACTCTCTTCTGTACTTAACAGTACATCACAGAGAAAGTTTAATATGAAAACTACAAAGGCTTCATCCTTTCAAGCCCTAACATGCACTGCAACAATGAAGAATGATTCTTAATACTTGTTATTAAAATTCTCCATCCTCATGTGTATAGAGTTAATGGAATATTTTATAAATAATTACTTGATATGTTCTTCATGTGGAAATCTCTTCCCTCTACGATGGAATTCTGCTTCAATGCACTGCCTTACATGGACCTCTTCCAGTGGTAGAAATGGTACATAGTGATCAATAAGGTGGTTCTCTATGGTCTCACTCTTGTGCAAGCCCCCTGATAGTATAAACAAATTACACATGCTTAATTTTTAAGATAAAGAATTATAAGACACTGAATGTGAAGTTTAACCTTACTTTTGCCACATTCAGCTGGAGTCCATGTATTACTGTATATTGCAAAATTCAACTTTACTCTCTGGATTATAAAAACATCAAAATGACATTCTGCCAGTGATTGTACCTGCCACTGATAAGAATTCCCCTTTGTTCCTCATAGCAGAGTTGAGACATCAGCAGTGCTTGAAATTTCCCTCACCAGCTAAAATGTTATGACTAACATCCGAAACATATGTCATGCACCCATCCAGTTTGCACATTTGCATTGGAGGATTCAGCAATAAGTTGCTCTGCTAACCCCAATGAGTAATGCCCAACCCCCTTTTAAAGTTTTTGTTTTCATGATGATAGGTGAAGATAAGATACCTACTTAGTATTGCGACTAAACTTGGCTTTTCTTTGTTTAGAATTATACTAAATTCTCAGTAATATGATATTTAATTTGCTTCCAGATTACTAACAGTTACAGAACATCACAATTAAAAATTTAATAAACTTACCCTTTTCATTAAAAGCTCCTGTTCTGATTAAATTTTCGAAGTCCCCAAGTTGAATGTCTCCTCTCTTTGTTCCATTCTCCCACATCTTCATTAGCCTTTCAACAATAACTTGGCTTCCTGTATTAGACAGGAAGATGAATATCGCCTTCCTGCGAGATGATTATTATATAGGTATATGTGATGATGCTTTGTAATATACAGGCTCTTTGTATGTACAAGGGGTTTCATGTTAAAATAAGCAGTCCATTTGCACAATATACCCATTTCTTCCAACAAGTTAACTCTATTGAAAGTATTCTGTTAAAGACATTTTAAATTTTATTGTCACAGGCAATCTACATGTTAAAAAACAGGATAAAAGGACACACCAGTATCACTGAGTGAAGAGAAAACATACACCCAGAAGAATGGATGAGATGTACAGTGAAATTAGAAATTTGGAAACCATTATAGATGACAGCCAAGTCAAAGGCAGTATGCAAATGATTTTATATTGTAGTTAGAAATTTAGACAATGAAAGTAAAAACAAACATATTGGGAAAACGATGACCTTCCCATGTAGACTTCAAAGATCATGAAGGTGCTAAGACATCTCAATTATAAAATAATTTTATCCAGTGTGCTTAGTCTGTGGTCCTGTCCAAACATGACCTTTAGACGTTTTTTATAATGAACTGCTGTTTCACTGCTTGGAAACTGCATAAAGTCATGTGGTGCTAGCGATAAATAATGGAACAATGGTCAGTGGGGATTAGTAAGGCTACCACAATAAAATCTATATTAATTATTTACAGTCCCGCACCATAGCCGCGCGGTCTGAGGTATCATGCTTTGGACCGGCGATACGGAATGCGTGCTGGTTTGAGTCTCAGGGGAAAAGAGATTTTTTCATGATCTTTTGACCAGTGTATGGGACCGGTGCCAACCCAGCATCGTGAGGAAATTGGGGAGCTACAATGAGTAGCGTAATCCGGTCAGGAAAGCTAGCAATGGCTGGGGGTTCATCGTGCTGACCACACGTCACCCTATATCTGGTTGGATGATCGTTCACCTCTGCTTAGGCATGTGAACGTGAGGCCAGCAGTCAAGCTAGTCGGCTTTGGCTCTCTGGAGCTGTTACGCCACGAATTTAATTTAATTATTTACATACAGCTTAGTTAAAAAAAGAGCAAAGCAAAGAACAAGGTGCTTTTGCTAGTTAAAAATAAATGTAAAATTACATTGAAGGAACATCTTTTGAAGACAAAATTAAAACCATAAAATGGATTTAGAAAAATAACCAAATTTACTGGAAGCAGATTAGTACAGAAAATAAATTGAATGATGAACCCTTATACAAAATGTGCTCATCTTTATATTGACAATACTTTGTAAAAACTAACCCTCTGGGATCCATCTATTTTCTTGTGTGGCACCATTCTGTTTTATAGAGATTTTACTGTAGCTTACAACTGAATAAAACACAAGAAAATCTGTTACCTGAAATCTACCCCATTTATTTGTTCATGATAGTCCAAGAAAGGTTTAACAGCATCCAGCACTCCTTTTGGAATTTTGTCAACCTCATCAAAAACAAATAATGATCTCTCACATTCAGTCACTTTTCCTCTGATCAATTCAGTTAGTTCCATCTGAAAAGAACAATAGCAGTACAATAAAAGAACAGCATCTGAATGTTTGTGAAAAGTGTATTATTACATGGACTAACTTCTTGAACATTTTCCATCATCCTAATTTTAATTAAGGAGACATTTCAGAGACTGGAGTATGTCTTTGTCCTCAGGTAAGACCAACTTTGTTGGGCCCTGTCTCTACAGCTGGTCGCTATCTCCAGTCTGATCCAAGAAAATTGTCACTGTAAAGAACAACAGTTTGAAACTTTATGCTGTGGTGGGAAGGAGAATACTGAAGTATTTGGAAAAGAAACTTGCAGCAGTGCCACTTTACCCTAAGCCTCCACAGTGAGTACTAAACCATAAATTGTAGGAGCTTAGTATGGCTGACAGCCAGTTTGGGTAACGATGTATTTATATATTAAGAAATACATTTTTCTTGGAGATGACTACATTAAACCATTCCATTACATCCAGTGAAATATGGTGCTTGATTGTTAGAAATTCAGGAGCATTCAACATTACTCAGTTGATGAAGCAATATAAATCACCCCAGCAGTCTCAGCCTCATTACCCCTTTAAAACCCAGGGGTAACTGTATGTCCACCTGCTTTAACAGTCTGTTAGTCTGCATTTTGTATTCATGGGTTTCATATGATTCTTATTGTAAACAGTGATTTTTCCTTAAACAGCATTTACCACTTGATATCTGTAAGTGTGAAGTGCTGTGTTTTCTTTGCAGTACAGACTGAATTCTTAAATATTATTTAGATGAGCTTCGGATTCAAAGGGTTAATGTTTACTACACACACCAGATGTTAAATGCACAAAATTTATTTCTGAATTAGGTAATTTAAAATAAATGTGTTCAGTAATATTACTGGTGTCTCATAAATAAATAAAGAGCTGCACCACCAGCAAGTTATTTTATAGACTACAAAACCCTAATGATGTGCCAAACTGCAGTAGTTTAAAATATAAGTGCCAACACAAACTCTCATTCCATCATTGACCAGCGTCTAGTTATATTCCACTCTACAGGCTGCTTGTTTGACACTCCAAAACTCAAAGTATTTTCCCAAACTTGTGCAAATTTACAAATTGAAAATGTTTGCCAAGATTTTATTACAAAACTTACACACAAATATTTACCTTGTATGTGTCAACTTTACTCTCCATAGGGAAATTACTTCTTCCAGCAAAGAAATGTGCATATTTGCTTTGAAGTCCCAATTTATACAAACTGTTTATGATAAACTGGCTGACAAAAGTTTTTCCACTTCCTGACATACCATGGAAACTAAAAGCCAAAGCTTTTTTAGGGCTTGAATGTTCCCTGATATGGGCTTTTAAAGCTCTCACAACAATATTATATGCAAGATGCTGACCAAACAGATGCTCTTGTAAAGATGTTTCCAACACTATAACAAAACAAACACAGAACACATTTTTATAAAATATTTGTGTCAGAAGTAAAGAAGCAGAAATGAATATTAAAAATTTGCATTTTTAATTTAAATTTGAGGTGTTGCTGTCCCAGCAGTTTTTACTCTTCATGGAACATTACAACCCCTACATCATCTATAAATTGCCTATATTGGGCTAACTGAAATTACTAATAATCCACAATCACATTATCTTAATTTTTAATTTGGAGGGCAAATTATCACTTTTCAAACCTTGGTTCAGATCCACCTGAGACTCATTATTTTATTTAATCATTTACTTTACATTATAAGTCAAAGAAAACTCTGGTATTGATCCTGACATTTTACATGATGTCAAAAGCATCTTAATTATCTTTATTTTCCCTTTCCACTTCTCATGAAGTGCCTTACGATGATGTGTTTAGAGAGCTAGAAATGTATTAGTTCAAGATGTTCTATACAGACTGCAATGCATCTCCAGACCTAGCACATAAGATCAGTGATCAGAGAGACACACCAAAACTGTGTAGTTGCAGAAAATATATACTAAGTAGAATCAAATAAACTACTTAGTAATATATAATATAATTTTGTTTAGTAGCAGATTTAATTTGATTGTGTACGATCCAAGTGAAAGTAAATAAGATTTAAGAATTTGAATACTTTAGTTCAAAGTGGCAAAGGTTTACTTGACGGCTTATGTACAGTAAAACTGAATCTGTTCTGCAGGCATGATCCTTATCTTAAAGATAGAACTGCAAGTGTGAATTAGTTTTTACTTACATTTAAATGATTAAGAAGCATTTTTCAGGATAATTTGTAGTACATATTTTCTGATGATGTCACTTCAGAACTAAAATTCTTTCCAGAAATGTTTTTCAATATATATGACATACTAAGTGAACACTGTCTTTTACAAATCTATGATTCTCTCTTACTATGGTCATACAGCAGACAGCCAAGTATATACATATTTATTTATACATCTGGAAGTCACAGATTTCAGGTTTTCATAGTGGTGAATATGAAAATCACTGCCTTCTGGGATGTTTCAACCTGATGATGGAGGCAGTAAACACCTCTGAAATGTCAGTAATTTTCTATGAGATTACATGGCACAACATCCTAGAAGACAGTCATCTTCACACAGTGGTAAAGTTTAATAAATACATTTTTATTTACATATAGAAGCAGTGAAAAATGTCATCATAACTGAGAAATTAACTAAGGCTCCTGAACTCTAAGCAGGCATTCTACTGAGACAACAAATGTAACAGGAAAATATCCAGTCACTAGGAGCACTAGCCTTACTTGTAAAATTGTATGGTATCCAAGAACTGTCACAGCACTCATTAAAGTGACAAACATATTTATTATAGCCTCCATATATAGCTGATCCTGCTAAAATGCTCGCACTGATAACAGTAAAGGGCTCAAAACTTGTTATTGAACTTATCTGTATGAGGATTATTAACAAATATACCAATTTCTGTTCATCAGGCATTATCTGCAAGAAAGAAAATAATACCAATTTGCAGCGAAATCAGTTCAAGCATATGCAATTACAAAATACCATGCAAAAAAGACACAAAATTTGTTACTTAACTCTACACAAATTCTCATATATAAACACTATTTACTTCTGTTTCTTATGTCGGTTGTTTAAACAACTGCCTGATTTTTTATATCAATATGAGGAATATTCCCTGACAATGTTGATGTTGCTAAATTCCCGATCATGGATGCAGTGTATTTCTCTGTAACATCAGCAACACAAGTCACTTCCACTTGATTACATCTTCCAAAAGCGAGATCAACATTAGCAATGTTTTTAGATGTTAAAATAATTCTTAAATTAGTTTCTTATCCATCCATGAGGAGCCTGAAAGGTTAAACACAGCTAATATAAGAACTATCAACTTCATCCTGAGACAGTTCCATACTATCTACATTATGAAAACCTATTTTCTTTCCTTATTAATACTGCCTCCATCATTGTCTTGGTCTTTATACAGTCACTTTACAAGATATTTCCCAACCAAAATATTGTGTTACTTTTATGTCTCCCATCCAGATTTCTGTTCAGCCCAATGCGAGTAACCTTTGATTTTCTCGAGGTTAAGGTTATCTAATTTTTATGGAGCAGTTTCAGAAGTCTGGGATACTGTGTACAACACAATTGGATAGTTTCCAACTGCTAGAATAGGCACAAATCAAGACTTACTGAAGGATTTATAGCATGTAAATAAAATTATAATCTATTATATTTATTACAGCGCCTGGAATATTAAGAGCTGAGGTAAGAGTTGCCATTGAATTTGAAATAAAAAAATTAATTGGCGGATATACAGAAACCTGCATCAGGTAGGTACAATTGAGAAACAAAAGGGTTACTGTTGTATCTTTCATGCAACACTTCAATTACGTATGTATTATGATGCGATGAGTAATCACAACTGCAGTTGTTTTACACCTGAGTAGTAAGAGTGCATTGTGATAGCCCTCACACCGGCATTCCGTGAATTACTGGTTCTGGTTCTGGCCAGGCGAGTCTCAAGACGACAGAAAAAAATAATAGTCTACAAGAAATATTAAATTGCACTTTGCTTTACTTAGCCTACTTTCGCATATGTCAATAACTCATTCCTATAAGTTTGCAATTCGGCGCATAAGACTTCACATGTATATTGTTCTGTCATCTATCGGCAACGGTAGTGTAACTACTATGAAATCATCTAGCAGTGCATGCAGTACCAGGGTCAAGGTTAGTAAACTTAATCATTACTGTGTTACGAATAGGAAGGGATTATAGTAGATATTTTTTTACCTAAGAAACTATTGGCAGTGCCTGCTACTGCCAGTTCGTTTCGCAGTAGTTTGGTACTGCAGTGGAAAGATGGCAGCACACATAACATCATAAACGTTTACGTTGCAAACTTATTACCGACGTTGGTCAGGAAAATTAAAAAGTGCCCGAGTATTTGCGCACGTGGGCTGTCAGCTGTTACGTATGTCTTACGACAGGTGATTTTATTTTTGCGCCTTCTACGAAATATGCGATGCATATATTTTGTGGAGAGGAGTGTAGAAAAGTATAAAAATACTCATCGGAGCAATGGAAGACGTCATAATACGTCCAGTGTGTATCTAAAAATACTCTTCAATCACTCTCGTGTGCTAATAGTCGTATTTGTCTACGGTAGAGAAAGTAGTAGATAAAGGAAGGTATGGTTGGTGTTGAATTATTAAGCCCGTAAACTGTAATTTTAACATACAGTACTAAAATATCAAGACAATGAAAACCAAAACCAAACGAGTGTTAGCAGTGCGAAAAGGATCAGTCTTATTAACTGAAAGACCATTTGTTTATGTGCTCAAATCTAAACTGAGGGAAGAACGATGTGACAATTGTTTCAAAAGGTGAGTCGACTGCTTTCACTTTTTTAAAAGCCGGAAAATTTGGTAATTCAAAGATTATTGAATTATATATTTATTATTAAGTGAAATCAGACTTGAGAATAAATGATGATGAAGGCTCACCTGACCCTTTGAGGCACACGAGAAATAGAAGAGGAGAGGTAGTGAGAGACACTATAGTTCGTACTGGGGATGACTGATATTTTGCCGGTCCGGAAGGTTCCCAGGCAATGCCTGCTCGCCCTTTTGGTGACAGTAGGTTGTAGAGAAGTCACAGCGTTAGAAATTGTTCAGTTTTATGGCTGGACAGCAAAAGCACCTTCAAATTAAAACGTATTATGCACTGTAAGAATTTTGAGAAGAGTTTGAAGAGGATATTTACTGCGTTCGGGTATAATTATGGTATTTGCATTGTGATGGTTATGTGAGAAACATGAAAATGTCTGTTGAGTTGGCTGGTCACAGCATATAATAAAAATGTGTCACTGGCATTTGAATAGAATAAGAATTACTAAGCACAACAGTGATGTATCAGTTACCATACTGCACCACTCATTGTTAGAAAATGAGAGTGTACAATATTAGAAATAAATAACACCCACTTCAGAACCCATAAAATGATGTATAGTGGTGACTGCCTGAAGCAGTATCAAATATGTTATGTTTATAAAGTATTATTTCATTGTGTTTGGGAATTTGAGGATTCCCAGAAAACAGGTGGTTAAGCTGGAGAATCAACTAAGGGAGAGTCCACTGTACAGTTTTTCCACTTTCCTGTTTCTTCCTTCCACATAGGCTCAGATATTCTATTTAGTACCCAGATATCAGATGTAATCAGTCTGTGTTCCCACCTAAGGGTGAACAACCAAGTTTCACACCCATTTAAAAATACAGAAAAACAATAGTTTTGTATGTTGTAGTCTTTATGTTTTTAAATAGGAGGCAGGAAGACAACGTTGGTAGCAAACCTTTCCAGTATTTTCTCTACTATTAAATTTCTTTATTGATGTAATTTTGAGCCCACATTGTAATTCCTGGCAGAATCATGATACCAAACAAGAGTCTAGTTGTCTGTTTATGTAGCATAAAGGATTTTTCTTCTGACCACATATTTGTGTATGTTCATTTGAACCTGTCTAAAACTAACTTGTTGGATTCTTGTCAGTCTCATTCATAACCTGACATTTGTAGGAGTTAAAGAATCTGAAGCCTGAAATAGGCTACAGTGAACATTTATTTTATTCATGCACAAGTTACTGATACGTCATTTCAGTGTTAAGATGCAGTTATCTCTTCACAGGAGTTTGTAAGAATGTGGTAAACAATCAAGTGGCATAAAAACATTCAAACCTAACTCCTTTCCAGATATGGTATAAATTTATATATATAAATTGAGCCAATAATTTGCATTGACTGCATGCAATTGAAGAAAGAAATTTTACAATTTGTATCTTTTTATGATTTACTTTTTAAATTTAATAAAATTTTCCTTGCAAGTATAACAATGACTTAACTTTATTCATTTTCTGAAGTCTTGGCTTTTGTAAGTAGTCTTTTTCATCTTGCTTTTTTCATGGTCACATAACTTGTATTCCAGTATCAGTCTCAAAATATTGTCTGCAATGTGTTCTTAGTATTTCCCTTCATATAAATGTTGTACTTTTCCAGAAATAGACTGCTTAAGTGTTCAGGTTGTCAGTATGTATACTACTGTAATCGAGATTGTCAAAGAGAGTCCTGGGCTGACCATAAACAGGAATGCAACAATTTAAGAAGAGTTTCACCTAGGATTGTTCCAGATGCTGCTCGACTTTTGTCAAGAATTATATTTAAGTTGCAGGTACAGTGCATTCACTAACTCTATGGAGCACAGTTTTCCCTGACAAGTTGATAATTGCTCTCTACTGGTCCCTGTCTTGAGCCAATTATATCCAGTTTGTAACCTCATTCTCTGTTTTCTTGAAGTCTAGTGCCTTGTTATCCAGAATAGTCTCTTCCCTTCAGGTCTTTTGTGAAAAATGGTATACAGAATTTCTCACTCCTCCTATGAATTCCACATACACTGCCCATTATATCCTTAATCTAGTCACCGTAATGATGTTTAATGATTCTCTGAAGGTTTGTGACTGGTTGATTCATTACAGAAACAGTGTCATATTAATCCCACACGAGCACCAATTGCAGCTGTAATTTTGTTCATATTTTTTTTTAATGATGCATTTTACATTTTGCATGTGGCATATAAACCAACATGTATGTTTTGGTAATGGAAACCTGCAACTGAATTTTTGTAAGAAGGGGGGGGGGGGGGGGGGGAGGGGGGTGTAATTCGGTTTGCCTATACTACTCAAAGCCATTCACAGATTAAAGTTTGTCACTTAATACTTGTTCAGTGTAGAACATTGATAATAAACTGTAACAGAAATTGAGTTTATCAGATGAAGTGAAAAATGAAGGTGGAGATGATGTGAGTGGAAAAAGGAAAGCAGGGAGGTTTATATTCAGAACTGTAGAAAGTCTTGTTATAAGGAGGAGAAACAAGTGATATAGCATATTTCATTGCATGATCCATGCACCATCATTTTTCATTATGAAATGAATAAAATAAGAATATGTAACTCATGTTTTATACACTTCCTGTATGTTTCCTTTGTTTACAGAGAGGCGGTGACTTAGAGAAAGGTTATTATTCTGAAACAAACTTCAGAAGATTCAAAGATCTGATGTCACGTGAGTAGTTTATTGTTATACATGTATGTTCTTTGTAAGTCAAAGCTTACAGAAACCTGTCTTCCTGCTTCTGTTTTACTGATAGGTGTAAAAAACATTCACATAAACTTCAAAAATTGTTGATTATACCACTAGCCTTATTCTCTCTCTCCTAATCTGTACATTAATCTTTGAAATCCAGCTAGTAAGCTTGTTGAGGTCCTGGAATGTGTCTGCTTGAACAAGCAAGTTGAGTCTCGGTCATCTGCCAAAGACTTCATTGATAAATGTTAATTCTAATAGTTTACTTAATTTAAGTACTGTTTGCTTCAGTATTTTGTATCAGCTGTCACAATAGTTAAAATAATATAGCAAATTATTCTTCTTCTTCTTCTTCTTTTTCTTCTTCTTCTTCTATGGCTCTCTGGTCCGTATTCGGTCCATGGCCTCCTCAATTCTCCTCTTCCATTCAGTCCTCTGTTAGGTCCGTCTGTCCGAGGCTTTGATTTAGGTTTCGAAACATCTTCCTTTTTATGGTACAAGGTTGTTTGCCTTGCGACCAACCCCCAACCTGGAGGACCAGTATTTTTATAATAATGAAAAATATGTAGTAGTGAACATTTTTTTCTTCAGATTATTCAGATTTGAAGCAGGACCAAAAAAGGATGGAACATTTCACTTCGCTGTGTGGAGTTTTGATTGATTTTGTTGGGGAGAGTAATTTACCAAACTCAGCAGAACTGATGGGAATTTATGGCAGGGTAAGTATGGTATGAATTAAATTAGTAAAGCAGGATCATTTACAGTTGGAGGAACTACGTTCTTCAGTGATGCATAATTACATTTTCACCAGAAAGTCTATGACTTGCCTCATGGGCAATCCATTTGTTTTTAAATTCTTAAATCTTTTAAGAAATATAAAAATAATAAGTTATATGAACTTTAAGAAAAACATTTTAGTGCTTGAGCCATGTAAATGCTATTTCTCCAGTTATTTGTAACCTTGGAACACACGTATTATGCAGCGGAATTGTCAGTGTCTAGTGCACAAGATTGGCTTTTTTGGTTTTATTCTGTTGTTTCTTGATTTGTCCAGTGTTTTGGCAAGCATTTGCCAACTTAGGGGTAAATGTAGGTGGGTGAAAGGAATGGTGTGTAATCTTAGAAGGGAAGGGGATGGAGAACAAGGAAGTGAGCAATTTGTTAGTGTGTTGGGTTTCTGCATTAATAAATATCCTTAATTCTTACAATTTCCTTTATTATTACCCTTGCTTCACCTGATTGATTCCTTTAACACAAACTCGGAACCTGCCTTCAAATACACTTGAGCACAGACGACAGTAAACGTTAACCATGTGAAGTGGGCCAATGCTAATCACAGCTTTTGATGGTGCTTAAGGGAGTGCCTGAAAGAAGAGCAGCCTGGTGACTGGAGTATGAGGTAAAGTGGTGTTACTGGTATGTTGCTGCTGTAGTTCAGTTATACTGCATACTTTTAACAGACGTTCTACCATTCCAGGAGAAAGGTTGCTGCATTAATGAGAACAGCAGTGCTGTGAAGTTAGATCTTAGAGCAGTGGTCCCCAACGCGGTGCCCGCGGGCGCCATGGCACCTGCCAAGGCCTTTTTTGGGTGCCTGCGTTGTTACGGAAAGAGGTTATACTGAATAATGAAGGCTGTTCATCCATGAACATTATAAAATCAAAGCACAGATCTCGACTTACTGACGCCCATCTTGACGACTGTTTGCGAGCAGCAATCATCCTACACCCCCAAATTTGAAAAACTGGCTGATGAAATGCAGTGCCAAACATCACACTTGAGTAATAATAATTGTACTTATAAAACTACGTATTTTTGATTGCATGCAGAGTAATGTGGATTCTGTGGAAACAGGCTGCTAGCATGGATTGTGTTGTTGTGAGTCCTGGAGGAAAGAGGTAATTGCCATGTAATTCACTAAATAGTTAAAAACCTTAACTGCTTTGTGCAGATGTGTGTGAATGGTTTTAATATCCTGGATCCTGAAATGCTGAGTATTGGCACCGGTATCTACCTGGCTTGCTCTGTCATAGACCACTCTTGTGATCCGAATGCAGTCGCTGTATTTGACGGGATTACAATTCACATTCGTGCTGTGAAGGATATGCCAGTATTGGATTGGAAGAAGGTATATGTGTACATAATACCAACAGATATTACATATGTGCAACTTCTATCTATCTTTTGTGTGAGAAAATTCTATCTTGATCTCTTGTTTTTGCATGCTGTGTTTTTTCTGTGGCATGTGTTACTAGAAACACTCTGAAGGCTTTCCCATAATTTTTATGTTTCTTTTATGAAGTGTATAAAATTAATGCATAACAAGGAGGTCATGACTATCCATACACCTGCCTGTTTCATTTATCTTAGAAACTACTAAATGTATTTAACAAAAATTGGTTTTTGAGAAAAATTAACTTGTGATTTTGTAGTATGAATAGCTTTGCAGTAATAGATTTTTCATTTATTCTTTTTTCTTTCTGTTCAAGGAATGTATACTTACATCCTTAAACAATAATTGATATTGACCACTTAATATGTTTTGTTGAGAAAGCTGATGAAGTTAATGTGATTTGTTGCGTAACTATCCATATAATAAACATGTAGTGGTCGCATGGTTGGTCGGTCATTGTTTGCTGTTGACGGAGTTTGGACAATATGTGATAATATCATAACTATGTGTTTTGCTTACTTTAGATTTTCCTGTAATTCTTGATGGGTAATTTACTAGCATAATTATAAAGCAATAAGGCTGTGTGTAACATAATCCTGTTACATTTGTTTGACATCATTGGCCTCATGTGCCCAAATCAGAGTGTTATGACAAGAAACAAATGTACAACATGGAAAGTGTTGAACGTTATACTGCCAGCTGCAGCTGAAGATACTTTTCTTCTTATAGGTCTTTATAAGTTACATTGACTTGCTGAATTTCCCGAAAGATCGACAGGCAGAACTTCAGGCAACTTATTATTTCCTTTGTGACTGTAAACCGTGCACCAGCATCCAGCCGCTGAATGTAATTTTGTGTCCAAATGAGAACTGTGGACGAGAGATTCCAGTGAAAAAACAGGTATATGATTAAAGTCTTAATACTTATAATTTGCTGAGTCGATCTAATAATGAAATCTATGTTCCCAATACATAATTTAATTTTTTTGTGGATGGTTTAATGGGTTTTTTTAAATTCCTATTTATTTCATTGTGGATCAAATTCACTTGCATTGAGTTTGCAATGAATGTGCTGTGAAAGTTGGACATGGCATTTTTACACTGCTGTACTTTGACATAATAAGAGGATATTTGTTTGTGATGAAAAGTACATAGAAGAGTCAGTAAACACAAAGTTCCATGGTTTGATCAAATTATTCCTAAGTTAAGTAAAGGATGTTACGCAGTTAGATCAGTTTTTCATACCAACAATCCTGACCATTTCTGTCTGCCTCACAACTCATTTGTCTGAGATCCTTTATATTGTTAGCATTCCATCACCTTGATTTTCCAGGTATCCAGGAGATTTACCCAACAAAATTCTGTGTGCATTTCTTAGATTCCTTTAGATTCCCGCCCCATTTTCATGGTGTATAGTATGAAACAGAAACCTTAGAACATGCACTTGTAAAGTTCAAAACAAGAAATAAGATTGAAATTAAGTTTGTAAGCACCACCCTTACCTGCTGTGTTATGCGTGGATTTCACGCGTAATCTAAGCGTTGTGAACGTTGCTGTGGTAGACTCACTTTGCTTCCTTATATTTATGCTGATTGAAGTTAATGGCTCCCCACTTAATGGTACCTGCACCATGTCATGGTGGTGGTTCTTAGCTACTGGTAGGGCCTCCCTAGCCAGATTGGTCGAGGGGGAGAGGTCAGACTAAGACAGGTAACATGGTCCTCCAGGTTGGGGTGGGTCGCAAGGCTAACAACCTTGCACCGTAACCTCGATCAAAGCCTTGGACAGACGGACCTAACAGAGGACCGAATGGAAGAGGAGAATTGAGGAGGCCATGGACCGAATACGGACCGGAGAGTCATAGAAGAAGAAGAAAAGTTAACGGCTATGTAATTGTTTGTTAGAAATATGTTATTTGTCTGTCTACTTTTATCAGATAATATGTATAATTGCGTATCACATCATGTTACAGGATGCCGAAGAATTACCACAGCCATGTCCTTCCTGTGGAGACCATATAAAAGCTGACACATACAGGGATTATCTTGAAGTGGAAGAGTTCACAAGGCATCAGTTAGAAATTATGAAAGACATTGCGTGTATCCTTCATGTGAAAATTACAGTAAACTCTCACTGGAGTTACAGCGCCATCAGAGGTCTTACTGATTTATTTGTAAGATACTGTAGATTATAAAACATAAAATAAATTTATGATGGAGTTATTGAGCGCCTCTGAAACGTTGGTAAACTTCTGCAAGACTACAGCACAACAACCCAAAAGACAGAAATCTTCACACTCACTGCTGTGGAAACCTCAAATTTTACATGTCTGTAGTAATAGGTAACATTGGGGTTTAGAAAACAATAAATTTGTTTGAAATGTCCAGTGAAGGCTAGGTCAGTTGCTGTGTCATTTCTGAACTGGCAGTGAATGGAGTTGATAAGCCTTTAGAAGCAAGCAGCATGCATATTGTTTCCTACCAGTGCTTACAATTTTTATAGTCATGTGAATTTTTTAATGATTACTTAACAATCCTTCAGATCTTGATGTGTGCAAAGTTTGCTTGAAGAAGCAGCGAGGTTTGTTTCATTCACTAGACATTCTGCATGTGAAAGTGCTGGACCTTGCATTTGAAAGTAGCATTCAGATAGGACAGTGGGAGCAGGCAGTCGAATTTGGACAAGAACTTATCGCAGGATATGAGTAAGTGTCTCCTCCTGCTCCTTCCTCCCCAATTTTGTTTTGTGAGGTATACATTTTGTGCACATGAGAGAAAGCGAGATGATGGCGCGTCGTAATGTGTAAAATTGTTTTTTTTGGACTTCTTCCAGTTTGTAAGTTTTAAAATTATACTGTTCCAAAAACTGGATTGTGCTTTCGTCATCACTTGAAAGGGTGAAGGAGGGCACAAAACTTGGCTGTCGTCAGAGTTGGGTCACACCTGGTCCAGTACAATTCATACTATTATATAAATTTAATATAATACAAACAAAGGGTTCACCTAAAGAAATGATAAGTTACAAATAGATCTACCCATTACTGGGATACTGGGAACAACCCATTCTTCAAGTGCCTGAGCACTGCGGGTCCCAACTTTATGTTGGCTCGATCTATGGACATTCGGTAGTACTTTGCAAGGCCTCTACCTGTACACAGGACAGCACAACACACACAAACGTGGACAAACATCCACTGCTTGAGTGGGATTTGAACCAACGGTCCCAGCGATCAAGGCACGGCCACTGGGGGTATCTACAGGCCCATTATTACCATTACATTGAGCTGTAAAACCTCAAGGGAAAGGACTAGTTGATGGGAGGATAGTTTTTATTACTCTGGGAAAAACTGAATTGTTTACCTACTTCTGTTCTCTGACCATGAATGAAAATATGGGGTCATAGAATTTTATAGCGTATTCCTGTCTTGTCATGATTTGTTATTAATTAATGTAACTACTTTTACTTTGCCTTTAGTGTCATATTGTTTTATATATTGTCCGTCAAGAACAATTTGCACTCCTTTCAATCTACTTCTTTTCATAGGAAATACTATGGAGAGTATCACCCGCTACTTGGAATTCATTACTTGAAACTTGGAAAGATCAACTTGTATCTAAAAAAATTTAATGAAGCGCTGAACACATTAAAAAATGCAGAAATTGTGATACGTGTCACGCACGGTGATCGGCACGCATTGTACCGAGATCAGCTCTTGCCCCTGGTGCGTCAGACGGAAGCTGAATTGGGCGAAGTGTGATGATATTTTTGAACACTCAGCATATTAATTTTTTGCATGTAGAAAGATTCTGTTAAATACTAGTTGTTGGAACGAATCTGAAAGCTTGTCAGATTCAGTCTCCTTATTGTATGCCCATCCTATTGTTTCTCATGTGTTTCGACTATTTATCCATCCTTAGGGAATCTCAATTTCACATTGCACGATATAAATTATTAAATTTTATTTAATTACATATTTGTAAGCTTATAAGTAGTCTTGTAATACTTTTGTTCAAAATTCATAATTATAAATGTGGATTTTAACAGGTAAAAGTTAAAATAATAAATTCAATTTAATAGGCCTTATCATAATATGAGATTCTCTGAAGACGGCTGGGTAAAGTCGAGACGAAGGGAACGTTATTATATATTTTGTTGTTAGAGCCATTACCTGCATAAAGAGTGAATAAACGAAGCCAGGAACTCTGGATTCTGCATAACGATAATAGTAAAATATTGTTTACATTCTCCTTCTTGAACTATATTGTTTGTATCCTGTACCATTATTTAATACTTGGCATTAATTGGCCTTGTTTGGCTGTTGTCAAGAACATAAACAAATGAACTGAATTATTAAGATACCTTAGCAATTTAGTGCGATTGTTGAGGGAATTTGATAATGGTTTTTCCCACGACCTGACTCCAAGACCAGGATTCGCCATTGTCTAACCTACACATGATTAACTTTAATCTCAACATAGTTCGATATAAAAGCTCCACAGTTGAAGTGGCGTATTTAGTTTAGGCACGAAAACTCTCAGCATGTAGAGAACCACAGGTTTTTTACATTGTCCAGAACCGAATATCCCCACAGACGTGTTCGTTGTTTTCCTCAGCCCCTCAAAAGGGATGTTGGTACAGTACCTTAAATACGTTATAGTTAAATAACCTGCAACTCAACTTCAGTCAGGCCAGTCGAACAGCAGATCTCCCGTATAAGAGGAATGATTTCTCAGTCGCCAGATTCGACCAGGCCTAGGAAGAATCCAGTGTGTTCGCATGGATTATCGTTCTTCAAGCAGTCTTCGAAGCCCATGTGCTCTCTGCCAAGTTGAGAGAACAGCGTGATTTGTATGGCACTCAGGAGGAGGTAGACGTAGTTATCGTGTTTTGGGAGAAGCAGTGGAAACCCATCATTCATGGCAGCATGACAAGATGGATAAACACGTTATCTGCTGGAAAAAACTGTGGTTGAGAAGATGAAAGCTTGGTTTGATTCGTGCTCTGTTAGAACAAGACTGACGGCTTATCTACGAAACTTACAGCTTATTTTGGTGCACACGACAGCGCGAAGAGGTTTTCTGTATGTTCGGGTTTCTCAGCCATTTATTCCGTAATTACCCTGTTGTTTTTATCATAAACAGCATAGACGATCAAATAACTTCGCCACATGAAACAGTGTCAACAAGCATATGAACAAATCTGGTTTGAATTTGTTTTGTGGTTCGTGCTTTTGAAGTTGGCTCACCTGATACTCTTCCTTTACTCTGAGATCAGTACCGGGTCAGAGATGAAGCTCCAACTTAGGACAGAGGGCATGATAATGTGCTGCTTGTTCAGGCTATTGCACATCTCATTGGACGGTCATAGACGATTATAGAGACAGACGAAATGATAACGGTGAAAACGAAGCACTCGGGGAAGAAACGTATCGCAGTGCCACTTCGTCTACCACGGATCTCGCGTAAAGGGGGGTTCACACGGAGTCGTGGACCGGGCGAGAACACGACCAAGAGGACCGGAGGTCGTGCTCACTACCGAGTGGGAACTAGTGGTCGTTGCACAGTTGGTAGTATACGACCTTGAAGACAGCGGTGGTAACCACTCCGGCATGTTGGAGTGATCACGACCAAGTCAGTTGCGTGCCATTTTCAAACACCGTGACTCTGAAGGCGAGAAGAAGCATTTGCGAAGTCAAGTGGGAACTGGAGACGGGCGTTATTAAGCAGGTCGTGTGACTCACTCAAATAGAGTAGTGTTCTCGCCTGGTCCACGACTCCGTGTGAACCCCCCTTAACTTGGGATTGGCCTCTGGCATGGTCGACCTCATTAGCTAAAAGAGAATGAAAAGAACGTAGAGATTTAGAACCACAATAACCAACGTTCTGGTAGTGAGATCTCTTTTGAAATAGGCGTAATGTAATATTTCTACCGATATAAATAGGTAACTTGGATTTAGGTAGTGGCATTTCTTCCAAATGAGATTTTGGTCTCTTTGCTGTGCTGCCAGGATTCGATTGACAGACCCTCGCCCTAATGATGGAGGCAGCATGTACTTCTGAAACGTCGGTAAACTTCTACCATATTACATGACATAATAATCCAGAAGATAGCCGTTTTCATACTCACCGCCGTGATAACCTCAAATCACGTTATTAAGGGGGACAAAGACACCAATCGGGCATCACAAACCTATATTCTTTTACAATATTGGGCACGTAGGCTAACATTGCGGCTGTTTTGGAATGATTATTGCTTCTGCTTGTAAGTTATCATACATGCTTACTTTCATATCACATAGCAAAGTTACAGTGTAAGAGTCTGTAGCAGACTTTATCTCAGTATTGATATGATGTGTTGTGACGAATGGCTCGGTCTAAGGTAACTTTTTGGCGTATCTCATGTCGATCCAGCGTCGCTCTGTTCCCTGGTCTGATGCGGCTCGCTAATCAATGTGGACGCCTAGGCTGTGGTAGCTTCACACACCAATGTTTCTAGAGCAAGCCACAGCAGCTTATAAACTGACCGGTGTGTGGTGCGGAATTCTAACCGATGATAAATGGGTTCCATGCCTTGATGAATTGCAGCTGGTTTGAACGCTGCTACTGCAAGAGATAGCGTGGAATCATAATGGGATCACTTTGCTGCAGTATATTCCGAGTCTACATGTCAACGATTTGACGAAAAGAAGCTTACATTTTATTCACTATCCTGTGTTAAGTGATGAGAAAAATAGAACAAGTTCTTTAGAAACTGCTAGTGACGCTGTTGTATAATTTTGATTCTATTTTGAGAAAAGGAATTTTGGAAGTGTTTTAGAACAGGGTGATGAGAATAGCTGGACCTAAGACGAAGGAAGTAACAACAGGCTGGAGAAAACTGCATATGAGAATCTTCACAATTTGCACTCTTCACCAATTAACTATTATGCAGTGGCGGCTCGTAAGTCTGAGCAGTGGTAGTGCTGATTAATTGTAACTTTTGATGTCGTCCTAGAGTTAAAACTGATTGCTTAGAAAGGACAGTTTCTTTTTACCTGTGCAATTATAATTTTTCAAAATACCGTCTTCTCGCATAGATTTAATGAAATTGTGTGAAAGAAGGCCCTTTTACACTCTCTTTGGGTATGGAAGTACGTGTGATGGGGCTCAGACCACATGGAGGGATTTTGAAGGACGTATAGTCTTCGTTTAATGACAACGTGATAGTAGGAGAGGGAGGGGAGGAAGGGGTAGGTGGACAGGCTTGAACATGCAGTGCCATTCGTGGATGACAGGTGTCATAGTGTCAGTGTAATGGAAGAAAGTGTTTCGCGTGTGTGTGAAAAATGCTCTGTTACTCCACCTTATTTCTGCGTTTCCAGACGATGTGATGACTTCAGAATCGTAAGTTTTGCTTATTTAACTGCTTATTATTGTATGCTAACACATTAGAATGAAGTGTATTCCATACGCATTGTTTCTGATGCGAAAATCGTATGTAGGTTCTGTACATGTTCATGAAGAAGTTGCGGCCATGTTTTAATCTGAACCAAATCTTTTGAGAGGATTTTTTAGCAAATAAAAATATACAGATGGAATTAAAATATGAAATTTTACACATAAGAATCTACAAGTTAGGTGCCAGAAAGATCGAATTTAATCAATTCCATTAATTTTAACCGAGGAAAAGTTTTCAATGACTGTCACAGGGTGCTTAAGAATAAGCTACACGCTTATATTATATTGATGACCGTTCTGAGAGAAGTGGAAAAGAAAAGATTCATCAGTCTTTTTCCAGAAATGAACGTCGCGGCCGAGCGGTTAGCACTTTCTGGAAGGTCTCAGGTTCAAATCTCGACCCGGAGACCGGCTACCCTGACTTAGATTTTTGTTGCTTTCCTCAGTCCCTCCAGAAAAATGGTAGGTTAGCACGAGTGCTTCCCTCTTTATCCTTTCCATCTGATTAATTATCCTGTATTTCGACGCTATACAGGATACAGCCTGAGCTGCTGACTACGTCGTTAAATAATACGATAAAATACGTTTTAGAAAGAGAAGTAAAATCGAAAAACCATAGAAATTGGGAATATTGGACAATTTAAAAGTCCAGAAATATAGTAGTAATGGTTTTGTGTATTTTAGTCTTTGCATTTGCAGACAGGAGACTGGTAGATGAAGGTTTTTAATCTACAGCAGAATTCGATTTGTTTTCTGTTTAAACTGTGTAGAGTACTGTTAATGTCTCTCAGTTGCAACCACATTTTGTGGAATGATCTGTGTAATTACGTGCTTTGGCGGTACTATAAAAGAAAGGAAATGAATAACATGTGGAAAAGATGGCGTATATGATAGTGAATTTTCTTACTCCGTTGTCGTTCTTCGTGGAACGGTTTGACCCCCTGCAGCTCAATGTAATTTATAGACACCCCTTGTGGTTTAGGCGCTTTGACAAGCGAGAACAAATTTCTCAAGTTCAGAATGGACATATATTTTTTTCTTCCTTTGCTTTATCGTTGAATATACGTGTCCCGGCAAGTTCCTCGTGTATTTATGCCTCCGTGTAGAGGCTGAATTTTATCCATACACGAAGACAGTTACAAATACGGGTAAACTAAATCGCAGTCTTAAGTAAAACTTACTGCTACTGCATTAAACTTCAGGTGCTTGTGAAGTAGTGTGCGAGTTTAGATCAATGATGAGTCATTGTGTGGCTGTCAGTGTTCACTTACAATGGACAGTCCGATTGAAATTGTAATAGGCCCATGTTAGTCCCAGGCGATTCATTAAATACCTAGTTACTGCTGTGAAACCAGAATACCAAAATTGCGCTCGTACCGCTGTGAGAGCCTACAATCTGGCGCCCAAGATCCTATTCTACGACACATCAGTGTTGCAGTGATAAAGGTGGATTTGATATTCACACGGCGGTGACTAAGAAAATTGATCTCTTCTGGGTTGTAGAGCCATGCAGTCTGGTAGAAGTTTGCCAACGTTTCAGAGGTACTTGTTGCCTGCATCATCAGGGTGGTTAACCGCAAGAAGGCAGCCATTTTAGTGATAAAGTTGTCCGAAGCGCACAATTGCAGAGATGTCGGGAACGACTGATGAAGGATAAATTAGAATGTAACGAGGCCAATAATTAAACGGTTTTGTAGGAAATACAACAATTTAGCAACTTCAGTTTAGTACAATTTTTTTCTTTCGCGCAACCTCAATTTTCAGTTTGTTTCAGTCGACATAGAAGTGGCCATATTTGTCTAGAAATGCTCATGATCGCTGTTAAGGAGTTTCGGTTAATCTGCGTTCTGAAGCAGCTGCCTCTGCTTAGTAGTGTTTCTGGCAGCTCTGGATGGGAACAAGGAAACGTTTCCGTTGTACTGTTGTTCACTTGTTCACCTAACAGTGACGGAAAGTGATTGAAGGGCA